GTCTCTCCCAACAGCCCCAATTTGAAATGCTCTCCTTCTCTCCAGGGATTCCTTCCAAATCTACTGTATATACCACTCATTTGTTCTTCTGTGTCATCTCCCTTGATTATCTGGTTTTCTTGTTAAGTGTGCATGTCTTGTCTCTGCCTGAGGGCAGGAACCATCCTTGCTTACCTTCAAACCAGCATGCCTCCTCCTGAAAAGCAGGTACTGGATACATGCTTGCTCACCAAAAAGTGGGGGGCGACATCCCAGAATAACCAATATTTTAGCTTGGGTTCAGGTGGATGTGAAGGTATCTCATCTGAGCCCTGAAGGGTGTCTGCGGGTCTCCATCTAGAGATGGTCAGGACACTGTCAGAAATATGGGTCCTGAGCTCAGAGGAATAAATCTGGCCTCATCAGCCTATCCCATGTGTCAAATCTACAAGGCTGGGTGAGGCTGTTCAAGGAATGGGCGCCCAGTAAGAACCAAGGAGTCCACAGCTGAAACCACACACTGGCCCAGAAGGAGAGCAGCAAAGGAGGAGAGACAGGGAAAGAACCAATACCATCCCAAACCGCTTCTTTGGGACCTCTCTTATGACACTTACCACTTTAAGTCTTTTTGAATGATTTGGGCACTAATCTTATAGGTCCTAGCAAAGGGTAAGCTCCTGGGAGAAAGGACAGTGCCTGAGCTCTTCTCGGCCTCTTTCTCAGACCTTAGACATACGTAGACATACAAGTCCTGGCACCTGGCAGTTGGTCAACAAACGTTTGTTAAACCGAAGCATGAATCTTCACTGAATGCCTGCATTTGGTTCTGGGATACCAGGGTGTGATTCTTGTCTTTAAGGATCTTACCCCTGTGGGGGACTCAGATACACCCACTGCACAGATGCAGTAGGCACCTCCTAAGTGCCAGACACTGTGCGGGAGTGAGACAAGAAAAAGGCAGAGAAATGGGTCCCCATGCTCGTGAAACTCACATTCTGATACCAACATGTGGGCTTTACAGTCTTATTCTGAGGGTAAGATTATATATATATGGGGACAGATAGATAGACATTGACAGATACATAGATGAATAGATATGAATATATATACCCTCACAGAAGGAAAAACAACAGAGTAGAATGTTAGCGCTGAAAAGAACCTCAAAGATCCTCCAGTCTACATGCAGATGAGAAGACAGAGGGCCAGGAAGTATCAATGACTTCACCATAGTTATAAAGCTGATCTGTGACAGGGCTGGGCCTAACCTTGGGTGTCAGTTCTCACAACACATACATACACACACACACACGCTAAATTAAGCATAACAAACACGGGCAGTGCCTCTGTGAGTGGTGCAGTCCGTCATGCCACTGCACTCACCAATTCTAACAGCACAGCTGCCTGTCCTTCACGGAAACTGCCAAGCTATTCGCCATCTATTTAGAAGCACAATTCTTTTTCCTCTCTCTCAAATTAGCTTTGGGATGTGCGTCTTCAGTTATTAAAATTACCCCAGCTGGTTGGCGAGGTGACCAATGTGTGTGCGTGCGTGTGTGTGTGTGTGTGTGTGTCTGAGTGTTGGGAGCTGATCTCCAAGACCTGAGCCCCTGGGGCCCCCTGTGGCCCCCCGCATTGGGCTGTTAGTGGCTCTTTGCACCTTTGCCATGTCGGCTCCTTTACTTCTGGTCTCAGGCTCCTTCCAGCGCCCCAAGGTCTGGGGAGGAAGGTCAGGCTTTCAAAGTGGACCCAGTGCCCACTCATGAGTGGATATAATCTCCCTCCACCAGCTGTGGGAAGCAGATTTTTCTGGGATCACATTGCTGTATTCTGCAGCCCCTCCTTTCCCCGACCACTCTTTGCCCACGGGGTATGGGCACTGCTGTCCGATTTTGTGGGGAGGGGTTGTTCCTCCCACATTGGGGAATAGCAGGGTGCGGCCCTGCCCTGTCGGTGGCAGCTGAGGATAAGCCTCCAGGGGCAAAGAGCAGCCCATGCGGCAGGCCTGTTTCCAAACATCTCTCTACAGAGCCTCTTCCGCTCCCCAAGTGGTACTCAGACCCAGAGCTCCTGGGCTGAGTCACAGAGCCTCAGAGTAGGATGGGCCTCAGGGACCACCCAGGAGGAGAATGAGGCCCAGAGAGGGAAACACTTTGACAGGAGCCTCATGCAGGGCCAGGACCAGAGCCCACGTCTTTGACTCTCAAATCAGTCATCTTCGCAGGGAACCAGGCTGCCTCTAGAGACGGCCTCATAAAATGGGAGGGCTCCCCCGACAGGACTCTCTCACCAGGGCTGTGCAAACAATCCCACAGGGGGCTGTTAATGGCTCAGGCAAGCCAGTGGGAAGCTCCCAGGGGGTCATGTCACCAAGGGGCTGGTGGCAGCTCTGTGCCCCCCAGGTGTGAGAGGGGCTGCACCTGCATCAACAGATTGCATCAATAGATTTGGCTGCCTGGGAGGCCTGGCTGGCCAGCCAGTGGTGGGCGGGCAGGAGGGGCCTTGGGGTGGAAACAGCTTGGCTGGCAGAGCAGGCCCTGGCGCCTGGCCACTGGTGGTAGTGCTCCTCAGCAAACGTGTTTTCTTGTTTAAGTGCCGTCCGTCCCCACCAACGCCCCTCTCTCCCACCAAACATAACATCACCTGATGTTTTGCTTTGAGAGGGGATGGTGAATCTTTGCCAACAGATGTAATTCTCAGATTGGTGGGCCCTTTGGAGGGGCCTTTGAAGCCAGCATCCCCCCAGGGAAGGGGCCGCCCTGCTCTGCTGGGCACTTTACTTTTTCCATGTGAATGAAAAAAATCCCGATTCTTCACACTCCACAGATCCCAAAGGCCAAATATTTGCTGTCTGCCCTGCCTTTTCCATCCCAGGTAGAGGCGGCGGCTCTTCCTGGCTCCTGGGGAGGACTGGGAAGACCCTGCAGGGGGGTGCGCTGGGAATCAACCCTCGCCTTCTCCCGTGTCTCTGCAGCCTGGCCCCTGGGATGTTCTTGGAGATCATGGGAGGGCTTCGTGGAGACTTGGAAAAGCACGTGAGTGCTGCCCTGAAGGCCCCAGTGGGCAGGAATTTGGGCCCACATCGTGGTGAGGCTGTTGGTTGAGAGCAGGGAAAAGGAGGTGAGAGGGACGGGTCTCAGGATTCTTTCTGGGAGCCCACAGCCTCCCAGCCAGCAGGCCAGGAGGACCCTGGGACCTGATGACGCATTTCAGCCCATCCTCCTCAGGAACCTCCTCCAAATACTCCTTCACACCAGCTCTTTTCTCCTCCACTCAGGAGTGGAATGGCCTCACTGAGTTTCAGAGAGGAAGATCGTGTGTTCCCGTCTCCCTCCTCCTCGGGAGCTGGATGTTTCCTCCGTTTCAGAGGTTCAGCCCTGCCTGTCTTTCCCTCAGTGTACTTTCTCTAACAGTGTTTGTCTGGAATGTCAGTGGAGACAAACCACTCTGAGAATGTGCAGCATCTTACCATCATCATTAAGGTCCCGAGCAGCAGGGGCCCCAAGCCTGTGGTGGGATGTGGTCTAAGACCTTTCCGGAGGCTTCTCGGTGATGACCTGCCCTAGGCCGGCTGACTGGGAAGGGTACTGCTCCATGGATGTGGTAGCTGAGAGCAGAAGCTTCGTGGGTGAGGATCCTCTCTGCTGCCAAGGGAACTCCCTGGGCTTGATTATAACTTGCTTGCTTCATCCCAGACAGCCCGAGAGATGATAAGGCCATCAGAAAGCACAGACAGAGGGGCCGGAGGCCAGAGGGAAGGAAGGGACAGAGTGGCCGGGGTATACCAGCAGGCGCCCTGGCCTGGAAGTCAGCAGCCCTGGGCTCTAGTTCCCCTGACTAGCTGTGACTCTTAGGCAAGTCCTTTCCTCTGTCCGTAGGACCAGCAGCATAATTTGTGGGGCCCAGTGCGAAATGAAGTGCAGGGGTCCCTTGTTAAAAAATTATTAAGAATTTCACATCAGCGACAGCAGAGCATTAAACCTAGTGTGAGGCCTTCCAGGCGCCGGCCCTGTGAGAATACACAGGTCGCATACCCATGAAGCCGGTCCTACCTCTTGGGGCCTCAGTTTCCTCAACTACACAATGTGGAGGCTGTGTTCAATCAGAGGGGTGTCCGTGGAGCCCCTTCCTCATAGGAACCCTCAGCCCAGTACATGTCAAAGAGACAAACAGAGCTGCTTCCCCGCTGCCTGAGAGCAGAGTTTAGAGCCCTGCCGGCAACGTCGAAGGTCCTTTCCAGCTTCCGCATTCAACAGTCGAAGACCAACCGGGGAGGTTCTCCCTCTCCGGAGCACAAGCATCCGCCCCGGGGCTGTGGAAGGATTGCTGAAGAGGCAGGGGATGGCACTGAAAACCTCAAAGGCTGGTTGTCCCACGGGATGACTCCAAGGCCTGCTTCTCCCACCGCCTGAATCCATCGTGAAGACCGGGCGTGCTCAGGAAAGCCAGGCCCGGGGATGAGCACCTGGACCAAGTCTTCTTCCCACCCCGAGAACCGCTGCAAGGGCCGCTGTGGGGATGACCCACTGCCCTGGGCAGAGCTCAGGCCTGGACCACTGGTCTCCCCAGCCGATGGTGTAGGAGGTCAGAGGGCGGGTCAGCCAGGGTTCAGAGGTTGGGAAGGGCAGGCCTGGGCTGAGGCCTCCACACGGGGGTCTCCTGGAGGAGAATCCTGGGCCGGCGCCGGGCAGAAAGCTAGGTGGGACTGCGGGAGCCCCGGAGACGGCTCCCTGGCTAAAGGGATCAGAAACTTCTCTAGGATTTAAAATTTAAAATTCATTGCTCTGGATAGAGCGATGAGCAGTGAGGACAGGACCGTGAAGGAGAGTGCGCGCGAACTTTCTCCATCCTCCTCCTCTCCCCTTCCCTTGACTTCATGCTCCCTCCTGTCCTCCGGATCCGTCCCGCTGAAGGACCCGAAAGGCAGGAAGAAGACCCCGAACTCCTTCCCGGAGGGCCCCTCCCTCCTCAGCCCCCACCGCGTCCCGGGCACATCTCGCCTCGAGCTCCCGCGCGGGGCTTACCTTTCATGGTCCCCGCGGCCGGGCCCCGGGAGGCCCCCGAAGGCGGCTGGAGCCGCGGCGCGCCGGTCGCAGCCGGAGGTCCTCGGCGGGAGAGGGGCTGCGGCCGGGGGCATGCCGGGCGCCGCGGGGCCGGCGCGCCGAGGGGTCCGCGGCCGCAGCCTGGGCCGCCCGCCGGGCACCTAGCGCCGCGCCCCGCCGCCCATCCCGCCGCGCGCGTCCGCTGGAGGCCGGCGAGGTCTGCGGCCCAGCGCGCCGCCGCCTCCCTCCCCGCTCCCTCCCCGCTCCGCGCCTCCCTCCTCGTCACTTCTTGGGCCCCGGCCCAGATCAACTTCCTCGGTATTTTCAAAACTGCCGCGCCAGGCCTCTTTGTGCCGCCGGTCCCCAGGCCGCCGGGCGCGCCCGCCCCCCGTGCCCCCGGGCCGGCCTCGAACCCGCGGACGCGGCTGCCGGGGAGCGCGCGGGGGGCGCGTGGGGCCCCGTGGTTGGCGCGGCGGGGGCCGTCTCGTGGAGGGGCCCCGGATCTCGGCCCTGGACGCTCTTCTCGCCCACCTGATGGGAGGAGGGCCTGGGAGAAGGGAGGACCCCGGGGTCCAGACCCACGCCCCAGGGTGACTGCGGCTGACCCCGTTTCGGCGCCGAAGGTCCCGCGTCCCCAGAAGCCCCTCAATCCCGGGCAGCCCGGGAGGGTTGGCCCCCCGGCTCTGTCCCGCTGGGTGCGTGGCTGCGTGGCCACTTCTCGTCTCCAAACCTCCGTTTTGTACGTGAGAGAACTGGGCCCGAGCTCTCCCAAATTCAGTGATTTTGTTCTTGGAGGGGCCTCTGGTGAAAACAATGACATCTGAGGGAACCTGACATCAAGCAAGGAGTTGTGACTCTCGTGACGTCTCTTCTCTGGGATCCTCACGTGTCAGACGCTGAGGTAGCAGACAGGTACTGAGCGCCTGCCTGTACCAGGTTCTGCCTGAACTCCGGGACCGAGAGGAACGCCTCGCAGGTCCCTGTCTCCATGGGGTGGCATCTGGTGAGGAGAGCCAACAGGTAAACGGGATGGCCATGAGGTGTGTGAAGGCTGTGGCAGGAGAGCACGGAAAGACGGGACCACAGCGTGGGGACACTGGCCCGCTCTTTTGATTGCTACAGTCTGCCCCTTTCCCACATGCCCACACCTCCATGCCCACCCCCATTTGGCCCTTGGAGTAAAGTAGGTGAGGCCAAAGGGGCAGAGAAACTTTCTCCTAAGCCAGGAGCGGGAAGGGGCGGAGGACAGCCACCTCGTTCACAAGTCCCAGTGGATCGCAAGGGGCCATGTCCAGCTGTCTCTCTTCTCCACTGGGCAATGGCAGGTTTGAGTTCACAAAGCACATCCTCTCCACTATCTCAGTGAACCTCACGACGACCTTGAGAGCCATGCTGCCCATTTTACAGATGAGGACACTGAGGTTCAGGGAGGATGTCACCTACCTGGTGGTGGTCGAGGGATACTCCTGTGGCCTGAATCTCGATTCCCAGTCTGCCCTTTGAGCCTCAGTGTCCTGGGACGGTGGTCTGGATCAGGAGAACTGCTTTGTAAACACCAGGGAAATATTCACCTCAAGGGACGCTTTACCTAGGCGGGTACCTGTGTCCTAACTTGCTGGATCCTCACAGCAGCCCTATGAGATGAGCACTATTCTAGCCCTCATTCTTCAGAGGAGGAAACTAAGGCATGCAGAGGATAAACAATGTGCTGAGCGTCGCATCGCCAGGAAGTGGAGATCTCGAATTTGAACCCAGGCAGGTGGATCCGCGCCTGTGTGCTTGGCCACAGTGCACCGCATGGCCTCTCATAGAAGGACTCAAATATTTGTTGACAGAAAGAACAAACAAAGAACCTTTGGTTTTCTCCATCTTTCTTTAGTTGGCTGGACTCAAGATGGTTGGTGAGAAAAAGGGCCTAACCCTGGTGTGAGGGAGTGCCCTCTCCCACCCGCACGTCCCTTGGGAATTGGAGGATGTATGTATGTATGTATGTATCCAGTGGTGTTGCTATGATAATGCAGACGAATCAGCAAAGAAATGAAATATGCTGCTGTCTGGTTGCAGATGGGCCCGGGGGGCCAGAGCTGGACCCCAGCCCTGAAGAGTTTCAGGGGACAAACTCCAGTTCCAAAAGACCTCTGGGGAGAGGAGACCCAGCCCTGTGGAGTGGCCGGAAAGAGCTGGAGAGGAGCTGGCAGACATTAGGGGACAAAGCACAGACCAGTTCAGAGACGGAAGAAGGCAGAAAGAGGAGGGTAAGGGATGATCACAGGTCGAGATCACAGCTCACAGCTCAAGAAGGGAAGAGACAGGATGTCCTAGAGGTTGCACCAGCCTTTGGGTGAAAGCTTTCAGCTGCAGTTTCAGGCAATTTCTGCCAACAGCCAGAGGGATGGACCCAGAGTCAACTGGACCCGCTGCCCTTGAGAGACCAGGTTCTGGGACTATTGGGAAGTGGCTCAGCTGGGACTTCAGTACAGAGGCACAGACAGGATGGGGTCAGGAGGGTGGGGTGGGGAGAGCTGCTTAATACTGTTTTTAACTTGAGCTGGGGAGGGATGGGGGGGCAGTTGACTGCAGCACATGGGCCACACTTATGTTGAAAGTCAAAGGAATTAGCTAAAGAGCAGAGGTCATTTAGAGAGAAAAAATGGAATCATGATGGTGGACACTTCCATGTATTAAGGAAAGTAGAAAGAACCCCCCCCCCCCCCCATTCTTGAGCAGTGTTGTGACTTGCTCAGAATAAAATCCCCCAGGAAGCTCCCCAGACTTTCCTTTCTATTTCTACTTCAGGAAAAACATCTCTCTTCTTCCTAAAGCCCACTTCCTCCACTCTGCCTTTGATCCTTTCCTCCCCAGCCATGCTCTTGTCCAGCACTAGGGCATAACTCTCACTTTTCCTTCTTAGATTGTAGCGTCAGCCCTCAATGCTCACTGAAATTTCTCCCTTCCCCCTACTTGCCAAAAATGATAAGCTTTTCAAAATCTGTATCCTCTTCAACCATTTTGTAGATTTAACACTGTATTAGTGAGGGTTCTCCAGAGAAACAGAATGAATAGCCAGCAGGCCAGAGACCCAAGGAAGGGGTGATGTTGCAGCTCAAGTCCAAAGGCAGTCTACTGGCAGAATTCTCTCTTTTTGGGGGGAAATCAGCCTTTTGTCTATTAAGGTCTTCAACTGATTGGATGAGGCCCACCACATGAAGGAGGGTAATCTGCTTGACTCAGAGTCTACTGATTTAAATGTTAATCTCATCTAAAAAAACAGCTTCACAGAAGCATCTAGAATAATGTTTGACCAAATATCTGGGTACCATGACCTAGCCAAGTTGACACATAAAATTAACCATCATAAACACCATTGGCAGTTCCTTCCTGAATCTCTCTTTTCTCATCTTACATACTCTGGTTCTCCTTCTAAACTTCTTTGACTTCTCTTTCTCTAATGGCTTCTTCTATTTGGTGTAGTCTCTAAATATAGACATTCTCTATGCTTATATTGGTTAGTGTAAGTAGCACTTGCTGCTGTGGCAGCAAACCCCACATCCCACTGTCTTAATACAACAGATGTTTATTTCTCATTCACATCACAGTCCAACGTGGGTTGGGCAGTTCTCCTCCAAATGGCGACTCCGGGACCCAGAGACCTTCCATCTTGTGTTACCACTATCTTCAACATGTGGCTTTAAGGTTGCTGCAAAATGGAAGAGAGAGTGGGGATCATGCATAGAATTTTGTGGGCTGGGCTGGAAGTGGTACCCAGCGCTTCTACCCATATTCTATCGGCCAGAGCCCACCTAACAGTAAGGGGTCTCGAAAATAGGCTTAGCTGTGTGCCCTTGGCCAGAGAGGAGAAGCACAGATCGGTGAACACAGGCATTCTCTGCACAGTCCACCTTCCTGGTCACCGAAGATCTGTTTGCTCCCTTCTTTTCACATATAAAACTTAGTTACTCTTCCCCAGCAACTCAAAGTTGCACTCAGTCATTGCATCAAGCTCAAAATCCCATTTCAAGATAGCGATTTCTGTAATAATTAGAGCAAGTAGCACCGGCTCTAACAAAGAACTGCCAGATCTTAATGACAGTAATAGTTTATTTCTCATTCATTTCAGAATCCATTGCCAGTTGGATGTCTCTCTTATAAATGTTGACTCAGGGATCCAGGCTTCTTCCATCCTGTGATGCCACCATCTTCAATAAGTAGCCTCCAAGGTTGCTGTAGGAGGGGAAGAGAGATTGGAGGAGTGTGGATTGGAGATTATCATGGGTCAGGCCTAGAAGAGGCGTACAGTCACTGTCAGCCACAATCACACGGCCCCAACCAAAGGCAAGGGGGCCGGGAGATACCCCTGAGCTAAGGTTTCCAGGAGGAAAGGGGGAGACCCGGATGCTGGGGAGCCCTGCCGTTCATTAACAAGCCCCTCCCAACCCAGACTCTTGCAGGGTTTTCCCTCCTTTCTCCCTCAATAAGCTCTCTAACGTCATGGATTCAAACTCCATGCAGCATCGCTGCCTTGTTAATGCTAGAATTTCACCCAAATAATCAATCCTTTGGAAGCTAAATAGTGAAATATTTTAGAAGGCAGCTATACTCATCGCTATACCACCAATGCTGCACAGGAGCAAAATATTTTTGAAAGAACAGATTTTTGAAAGGACAGAGGGCCAGTGCAGGGTATTTCATAGCAGTGTTCCATAAAGGAAAATCGAAATCCCATTCCCTATTAGCTTCTATTTAAATAAGAAATAGAATTCCCTGGGGAAAAAAATCCATCAACATTCTCAGTTGAAGACTTTGGTTCGGAAAAGTGTTCAGTTGGCCTTTTTTGGCCCATTCTCTCAACTATGAGATGTTTTCACAATTCTGAAGTTTCCTATCTTTTATTGCTTCCTCCCAGAAATTTACCTAAGATTTCTCCCATGTCTATGGATTCTTGTCTTACTTTACATTTACCAGTACTGGAATTTTGGAGTATACAGTGACCAAGAGGGGCCTCGCAATACCACTCTTTACCAGTGGGTGATGCCATATAATATGAATTCTTGTAGCCTGAGAAATCCTTACAGGGGCTTCATAGTGTCAAATTAATACCTTATTTTATGAACTCTGTGAGGGTGAAGTTCTAAAGAAAGCAGTTTAATCACAAAGGATGCTTCAGCGCTTGTACAAATCTTCCAAGTTAATATAATAAAGTCT